ACAAGTATATTAGAAGTTAAGCAGTTAATACATCCTCAGTGGATGCTTAGGAGTGTCTAAATTCTTGTTATTCTCACAGCCTTTTAACATAGTAGAGTTTTTTCTAACATCCCTGTGGTGTAAGCTAAAAAAAATGAAGAACACTGATAGAAGAACATTATGCAGAAGCCTAAAATTCTTGTAATGGTTTAAGACTGGTGTGATGGCAAGGCCAGGAGGAAGTTAGTGAAGGCAGCTCTTGGCCTTTTCAGTTTGGGACAGTTCATGTTCTCTGTGTTGGTGTATTGGTTAATAACATTTGGTAGTTGCCATAGATATTCCTGGTTTGTTTATTGGACCGTATACCCAGAGTTTGTTGCCACTCTTAATTTCCATTATACCCACAGCTGGGTGAGTCACAGGGGTAGCTTCTTGCTCTCAGTGCCTTTGAAGTCTCATCGTGTTTGTGCACTGTGTGCTCTATGCAGTAATTCCAGTTCAAGATTTTTTTAAAAGTTCCTGTTGACAACATGCACGTACCGCCTGTAAGGGCAACTGACCAGCTTTGGAAACCCGTCAGGAGTTGCAGGCAGGTTCCAGTAGCCTGTCGGAGACCCTGTGATTGAGGAGGTGGAAGCTTCCTGAGAAGAGTTTAAGGATTCAGTAGATCTCATTACATTATAATTTCCAAGAGTAGACCACCATTTTCAATTCTGATTTTGTCTACCATAAGAGATTTACTTCTCCCAGTCTAGAAAACCTCCTCTGGCAATTTCCTGTGCTGACTAGCTTTTGGAGACTTGTATACCTGCCACTAGTCATTCAATTACTTGAGGCCCCATGACAAATACAAGACCGAATGGCTGTCAAATTTCCTGTCTCCACATGAAATCTCTATCTGGTAGTTCAAATACCATTTGCAGGCATGCTGGTTTAGTTCTGGAAGTCAAGGTTATAGTCTTCATAACTGTAGCATCCTTTAGAAAAACAGTTTGAGTTTTGCTTGTATCAAACAACCCACTTTTATGTTGTGTGTCCCCCCCCCCCAATGTAGTAACATTGCTAGGTTCATAAGTCTTCTATTTTTCTTTGTTTTAAATCAGTCAAAAGTCTTCAGCCTGCTTTTTAAATGTGAACAAAATCAATTTGTTTTCATTAAAGAGTGAAAAACATTAAGCGACTTGTGAAATAACTTCAGAAATAAATACTATGCAGTTTATTAAGGTTTGGAGGGGGAGTCGAAGGTAGACTGAAGACTTCATGTATGCTGTCTCCAAATGGACGATTCTTGCCATAAAGACAAATTTGATTGTCTCCCTACCTCATCTTTTGTAGAGAAATGAACTAAAATAAAATGTGTGCATGACTAATGGAGTCGCTTCCATCCAAAAGCAATAGAGGATGCTAGAAAGAAGCTATTAGAGCTAAAATGGCATGGGAGGCTGTTCATCTTGGCACTCTTCAACTGTCCCCCACCCTCTTGTTTTATCTGACTTCCCTGTCCATTGTTACCAGTCCCGCTGTATTGACAGCATGAGTGATGGGGAGCAAGATTTATCCCCTCGTCTCTTGGTAAGTGGCCTCTCTTATCTGTGGAGTATGCAGAAGAGCAGTTCCCTTGGAAAGCTGCAATTCTGGGATTTTGCCGTTTTGGAAGTTGTTCCCAGGAGGTGTCTGCTCTACTCCTGCCTATTTATAACGGGGGGATCTGGCACCCCGGCAGGTTATGTCACCTTAATGAACCTGGCAGTGAAGCCAGATGGGACTGTGTCCGGCTTGGCCAACGGGCTTGTGTAGCGTGCGGGGGTTGCCGATAGGTAGGGAGACGTTTCGGTTCCTTCTGCTGGCATCTGTAATTAATATCAGACGTGACCGAAGTGCGCTCGTACCTGAGGAGAGGCTCCTTTTCAGAGCTTGCGGGAGCCGCGAAGGGGTGTGGGCGGCCCACTCCTCGTGAGGCGAGGCAGGCCCGGTCTCGGTGCCTCGCGGCCGCTAGGGGTCAGACGGGAGCCACTCCTGTGGCAGCGCGCTAGGCCGTCCCCGCGTCCTTCCCTCTTTCCACGGCGTGGGTGCCAGCAGAATCCGATACAGTGCGATATATAGAAGTAAGGTACGACTGGAATAATGAAATTTCAAAAATAAGCCCCTTTTAAAGGCTGGTTGTAACAGTCCTGTTGGGTATTGTAAATGCCTCAGGTGCACTTGATACTGCTGTTACGTTCCTGGCGCTTGCTTCTGATTTTTATGGAAAGATGGATTGAACTTCAATTTAAGAATATTCGGTAATCCCTCTCAGGACATACTGTAACAGCTGGTATTTCTGTGTTGCAGCAAATCGATTCCATACAGCAGTCAGCAATGCCTATGGCTAGGCTCCGGCAAAAACTTCCAAAGCATTTTAAATAGAGCGAGCCAAAGAAAATAGCATCATCACTGCAAAAATGTAGCTTAATTTGCAAGTTAGAAAAAATAAAATAAAATAAAAAAATCCCCATTCCATTCCAGCAAAATATTAAGTATTTTACTGGTAAAGGATTTCATCAGGTCATTTATTTTTCATTAATATATATTTAGGATCTGTGGGGAATAACTTTATGCCGTATAGAAGTTTCTTAAATAATAAGGAGCCTGAATTTTTTAAAATACTGAATGATTTACCATGAAATGAAGAAAAATAAAGAAATCAAGTTTAAATGCATGACATGTATGTAGATCAACAAGACTTTTCACATTTCACAGTGAACTTTTTTAAGAAGCCTGCATTTCTGATTAATAATAATGCACTTATGATGAGAACGTGGTGCGTGTTTAGCTTTACTTATTTATTTGAAATAGATGAAAATACTTTAAACTGCATATAAACCAGAGATGTCCCATTAATGGTAAATCATTTTGGTGTAACTGGTTTCTTACACATGTGAAAACTAAAAATGCCTCCATCCTTCATATGGCTGTGCTCACGCTGGGGACTGAGTGAGCTTGGATCATGATTTCTCCTTCATGGCGCTTGTATGCGTTAGAAAGAAAACAAGCAGAATTAATGCAAAGTGAATATGTTTCTTCTTAATTGGTACAGTGTGTCCTTGGCTAGGATATCTTTTTCTCCCCCCCCTCTTAACCCCCTTTCTTTTAAGCTGCACACAACTGACTTTGCATATAGATGTTTTACAGCTTTGTCATCATGAGTTTTTGCTCTGAAATACTTCTATCTCTCCATTTTAAATTTTAAGTTAAGGGGCTTTGTGCTGGTTTCATGAATGTCAAAAGAGGTTTTTGGAACCTGGTGCTTTATTTTAGTGAAATCTTACTTTTATTTTTTCCTTCACCACAAAGCTTTATTACTAAAAAAAACCCAAACCCTAAAGCAATCTTAATAGGTAGGTTTTTAAGTTTTATTTATCTTTCCATCATAAAAAGTTATCCAGGGTCATAACTTCTTCTGTATTTGCCTTCTTAACTAAAGAAAAAAACCAAACCAAACAAACCCCACAAAAATCAGTGTCACTGGAGTTTAAAAGCTGACATGCAAAGTTTTTTTCTGGTAAATGCTTAGAAGAGGAAAAAACCCCAACAAACAAACAAACAAAAACATAACAAAAACCCCCCAAAATCAACCACCACCCAAAAAGCCCTTTAAAAAGTTGCCAGACTATTTAAACTATAGGCTTATGCCTAGGGATGAGTTAACAGCTAGCTTGCATCTAATAATTGATTTAAAATTTAATAAACAAAATCTCATGGGTGGCCCTTAATATATTGCAATACTCTAAACAATGTGGGGATTTTTTAATTTTTTTTTTGTGAAAACCAGAATTTTGAACAGGATACAGTGTTTACAGCACCTGTATATTACTCTTCAAAAAGACTGCTGCCAAGTCCAAATGTGTCCAAAATATACACTTTTGCAGCCAAGATGACTTAAAAAGTCATCTGATTGATACGAATGTGGTTTTTTCTTTTTATAAAAATCCTCAACAAAAACCAAACCAGCATCATTATCATCAAAATGCTCTTCTGTTTATTTTCTTATGCAGAGCTATGCTGCTTGCTTTCTTCAAGGATCCTTTTTGGTTACTGAAATCTGGAGAAAACCCTTGTTTTCTGATAGCTTCTACTTCCCCCTTTCCCGTTCTTCTCCCTGCAGACATGTAAGCCCCTGCCCTGCTATTAGTGAGCATTTCCAGTCTTCACTCTGATTTTCTTTTTAACAAGTTTGGGTTCCAGTTTCATATTTAACATACTTGAATTTAAATATGTTCACTTATATTTGAAATAGTTTTTTACTTTTGTTACATTTGCTCTGAATTGTCCTAAAAAAAACCCCAAAACCACAGTTGAAAGAAAGACCCAAAATTTAGTATAAGCAGCCCTATGCAATTATTAAAAAATATGTCTTATAAAAATAGTGACTTCGTAGTAAGGAGTCACAGAAAAATTCCTTACATGGTCTGCATGATAATGGCTCCATCATGAATCAGATTGCTGTTTACCTTAGAGAAGTGTTTGCCTCGGTCCTGCTTTTTACAACTTCAGTTGAAATTTAGATTATATTTCCAGATTAAATAAAAACTATAAGAATTGCGTTTTAGATCCTGAAATGAACTGAAAACAACTGAAAGGAGGTTAAGTGGAAACACTGAATAAATTACCATGCTAGTAAGCATTTTTTTTTCCTGGGGTAAGTAGTAGGGAAATTTGAGTGACTTAAATTATTCACTGTTTTAACAAAATAACCCTTGACTTTATTTCCAAAATACCTGACACACTAAAAAAGCATAGTTTACTTGAGAGAAATGTGTTATTTTTACAGCAGAATGGGATTATAGGCTAGACGGAAGAAAACAAAACTTTTTTTCACCCTGGGGGAAAAAATTTTAACAGTCTTAAATAAATGCAAAGTACTTTGTTTTGAGAGCCTTAAATCAAAAGCTCATTTTGTGATAATGATTGGATTTGGTTAGCTGCAGTAATTTACAGTTTAACAATGTTCTTAATTGTAAAATTCTGTTTCTGTTCTCTAGGAGAAATTGGAAGATAATATAAATCTTCATAGGCAACTTGGCTGCAAGCAGTTAAACTGAAATTAACTTCTGCCTTCTGGCTACGGAGTGCTACTCTGACGTTCCTGCGTGAAACTGCAGACTAAATCATGCCAGCGTTATCAGCTGGATCTGGAAGTGACACAGGTACGCAAGCCAAGGAGGACTGCATGTTTCCTCCAGATCTTGTCTGTTAAGTCTATGGTCTCTTTTTCAAGAAATCATCAAGTAAGATAATTAATTACGGTCTCAACAGATGTTTTATTTAAGACTTTAAACATAACTTTTTCTCCCTGAAGTTAATTTAGATATATGAAATAACATGGATAAAATAAATTAATTTTTAAAAGTCCCACCGCTACCTGCTTTCCCTTCATCCCTAACCCCCATGTCCCCGTCCCCCCCTGCCCCCCAAAAAAAACAAACCATAACCAACCAACCAAAAAACAACAAACTCCAAGCAGATAGATACATAGGGATCTGAAGAATTTGGATTCACCTCTGAGCATGGTTCCTACAATGTTAACTTGAAAAAGGAGGTGGAAAAAAAGGATGATATCATACATGCCTTAATATTTGCAGCAGTCTAGACTATCCCCTCTGTGACTTACAGTTATCAGTGGAGTTATTTCTGAATACAGACTGTTTAGTTTTGACACTTCTTTAACAAATTAGGAGAAGAAAAATACTGTCTCAAGTCCTCTTCTTTCCCTTGCCTTCCACATCAGATTCCAGTTTCTGACTGCAGGCAGTGGGATTGCAGATATGTAGCTTTCCATAGCTTTCACCTTGTTCGTCACAATATTAAGCTATATTCAAAGGCTAAATCTCATCTTGCTCTTGCTTGTACATTCTCTCTGCCAATATTTTTGTCCCTGTTTTAGGAAAAACTAGTGTTAATATTTTTGCTTGAGGGTGTTTGGTAAATAGGTGATCCAGCTGGGGTTACAATACGAATATCTCTGCTTCCCACCATGTGCTTATTATGCTAGATCACATAGTTTTTTGCACTAGAAATTACAGCAGTATTTTAAAATGAACAGGGAGACCTTGAGTCAGGAATCCAAAAAATACATATATAAGGAACTGCATTGGATTCTTACTTTAAATAGACTGTACAGTGCAATAATTTTTTTCCACGCCTCCAATCCATGTCAGATTTCTTTGATGAAAAGATTAATCTTTGGAGCTGGGTGTGTGTGTTTGTTTATTTATTGCCATGGGGAGGGAGGGTTGTGTTTGGTTTTATTTGCTTTTTTAAAAGGATTTGACTATCATCTCGCCAAAATCTACTTCTACATATCTTCCTTTTCTCCCATTGCCCCCATGGAAATAAGGGAAGTTGAAGTTGTTTAGTATGCAAAAGCTGAATTTTGAAAATCTGTAAGGGTCTATTGTGGTCTGATTTTCCATTCTTTTTTTTTTTTAATCACACAAGCCTTTGTGTCCTTCCAAAACTTGCCTTCTTTTTTTTTAAATTTTTTCAATAATTATTAGTTGGCCAAATGCTTTCTGACATTTTAGAAGTTTCAAGAACATGATGAGATGAACAGCAGTGGGATGTGTGATGGCTGGTGCCTGTTGCTGACAGTTTTACTTGTTTTATTGTAAAAGAATGTTAGCATGTCCAAAAGTGATAGTCATGGGCGTAATACTCTCTGAATAAAGAAAGAAAAGGACTCCAAAATGTGAAAAACAGATTCCTAGTTTTAAACCTGTGTGTTAAAATGTCTAAAAACGTGTTTTGCTGTGCTATTGAATGCATGTGATTCTTGAAATACGCTTTCAGTAGTTACGGTGCGTGATAGAGCTGATTCTCCCAGGAAATCGATAGTAAAATATGATAAGCATCAAATAATGCTGCTTGTTAAATCCAGTTTGTTTACTGATGCAAGTTGCAAATTGCTTCTTTAAATAAGAATTTACATTTGGAGGGAAAAGGGGATTATTTATTTTCTTTCACTTTCTTTATCATTTTTCCTCAAGTGGATGATAAGTTTTTAGGTATTTTTTGAGTGATTACATCAAACTGTGCTTTTTGTCCTTCTCGTAATACAGGTGGTTTCTAATGAGAGACCTATTTTCCTGCCATTGCTCTTACTTTTAGGTTAAAAAAAAGAGATACACAAAAAATTGTGGATTTTCTTACCTGTGTTGTTCCTTGGTGCATAGACTGGTTTTCCTCTCGCCTTGCCTGCATAAGCTGGTGTTGTGACATGTAGTGAGTTGAAACTGCTCTAGTGCATGAGAGGGCTACCTGGGACATTGTGGAGTTAGCAAGTCACTTGGTGGGGACCTAACAAAAATGCATCTTTAGGGAAGGGATGCAACTTCATTTAGCCTGTCTAAGGCTGTACTGTTAACACATTCAAACAAAACCCCCATCTAGCTTGTTTTCTGTCATATGCTGGTGAAGAAAAAGTAAGCCTGGATTTAAGAATGAGTGAAAAAATTCATTGAGGGCAACCTGCAGAAATGCATCATCTGTGAATATCAGAAAGTTGCCAAGACATGGACTGTTGGAAACTTGGACACTAGTATGGAATTATTATATTTCATTATTATTATTATTTTTAGTGTAGTCTTAGGCATCAGACCACTGTCAGAAGCACAGTAGTGTTCATGGTGGGCCATGTGTGATCAGACTGAATGTTGATCTACTCATGTTAATTTTACGTTGCTTTTACTTTGTCAGCAGAGTTTATTTGTGATGTTGCCATGTCCTTTCAGTTGCTTCCTTCATATACGTGCTTTTGTTATATTTTAACCTATATAGTCTTCTGTACAGAGACCATACCTCTTACACCTATTTTGAGAGGCATTAAGAAGAGTTTAAGAGAAACATTTTAAACAAAATATTGAAAATATGACTAGTTTTGATTTGTCTAGTTTATTTAGATTCATCAAGTGACTTTGTCGCTTTAATGTTGTACTTTACCAGTCTGACCTGACTTCTTAACTTAAAGACAGAAGAGAAGAGCTTATGTGTGTGCATATGCTGTATTCCACACTCCATTAGCTGTATAGAAACCCTAATTTTGTATAATGTAAATTTTTTTTCTTAAACATGTGCAGGGTCCTACTCCTCCCTGAAGGTTTATAGTCCTGTCAGTGTCAGGTCAAAGTTATCTTAAAGCAGCCATCTCAAAAGGAAGGCTGAGCTCCTGCCTGAGGCTGCTTTTGAAGCTTTAAATATTTTTTTTTTTGTGTTGTAAAAGTCTGAAGTCTGTGTGTAAGCCCACCAAGTAGAGTTTGAAGACTGAGAAAGACTATTTGCACTTTTGCAGGTAAAGAAAGTCTGCAAGATCTGGCATTTATGAGTCTGATACATTTAGGAAGATTTACATCTGCAGTCTTGGCTTTGTAGTAATTGATGGCAGCTTCATTGCTAACTTAGGTGAAACCAAGATGACATCATTATGCTGTAAGTGTTGTTTTAGTGTGAAAAACATCATAAAATTGTTACGGATTGCTTTCCTCTCATCCCTGTATCAAGCTTGCTCAGCTGACAAGTTTAAAAATGCTTTTTGCTTGTCCTTAAAAACTAGTGCATGAATGTGCAAAGCAGACTTTGTGATTTTTGATTCATATATTGTCAGCAGGAAAGTCACATTTATGGGCCAAATTTGGCCACCAAGTAAAACTGTCTGAAATTGCTTAAATTTAATGAAAGTCAGAAGCAGGTCTTGAATTCGAATATTGTAAAGAAATAATGTGCAGGGCTTACTTAGTTTCTTCTTGAGTACATATAGGAGCTAATGCTGTGCCAGATAGTGTGGTTTTTTCAGTATTACAAGCCTGTAAAAGTAAATGCATGTTAGTTTTTTAAATTAAAAAAACCCAACACATTTGTTACTAACCAAATTGTAACTTCAGAAGGAATTTATAGTATTTCTAGGTTTGGGGTTTTCTTCTTGATTCTCTAATAATACAAAATAAAGTTATGAAGTTTGTTCTGAATGGTGGCTATTTTTCTGAACTTCATTTTTAGTAGCATATGCTGTGATTCTTTAAGAATCATCTTGACTTCTGAAGCTACATGTTGTCAATGTGTGTGTATTGAATACTGATAGAAATACTTTGATAGAATATGATGTCAATATGATAGCCATGTAGTCTATATAGATTACTTCCCAGTGAAGTGAGATCACTGCAAGCAATGCAGAGTTCAAAGACGATTTTGCAATCATCTGAACACCAAAGGATGCTATCTTGCTTTTATTGTTTTCATGTCAATGTCTTTCCTTTATTTACAGCTAATGCATTTTCAATCAGCTTGCTAGTTTTGACATAATCTTTTCCTAAGAATGTTTGATAATGCAAAGAGTGAAAAGGTGGAGGAGAAAAAAAAACCAAACAGTAATAACATGAAGAAAAAGTTGAGCAGTTGGTTGAGCTGAGAAAGGGACATCAGAAACATCTGTAGGGGAATAAGGGCAAATTAGGCTGAAGTGGCTAAAGGTTTTAGCCTTTTAAACCAGTTTTCAGAGTAAGGAGGGAGATGGAAAGCAGGGACTTCTGTTTTTACAGCCTGTTTAAAAAAATGTAATAACATGAAGTGATGGCCAAAGATCTGTGCTCATTGTTACGAGATGAAGAGAAAGGGAATTTAGGAGAGTGATGAAGGAAAGATTTCTGGGAGTAGCTCTTCCGTTGGAGGCTGCCAGAGCAAAGGCTTGCAGGGCGATTGACTCCTGCTCCAGACTGCCTTTGCTTCCCCGCTGACATGCTGCAGTGGAAACAGCGCAGGGGGAAAGCCTTTGCTCGCCTGCTTCATACCGATGCTTACTACTTAGGCATAGGTGTGCTGCCGCAAATGTAGCATGTAAATGCCTGTGGGTGCATCATGATTGCAAGGCTACGTAAATTTCTCACCCTGTTGAAATGCACAGCTATGGCTAGATTTTTGTGAAAACTGAAACACGAGCTCGGGCAAAATTTACACTGAATTTATAAATGAAGCCAGTATTTTACCGTGCATTCTTGAATTTTCCCTGTCTCCAGCTGCCAGAGGCATTAAATGGCTTTTAGGCTAATGCTAATATGAAAGATTTGGGAAAGTATGAGACATATGACTAGCTTTAATTGCTATCAGATTTACTATTTTAAAATATAACTTGCTGGTATTGGAAAGGGTATACATTTTG